TGGTATTATGAGAAACTGTCGAATAAACTTCAAGACGAGCTTGACGAACGAGCGTTGAATGAACTGTAAAGCGCCATAAAGTTCCGGATCGGATTTGAAGTCCCAGTCTGAGTCTCAAAACCCAGGCACGTGCTAATTGCTGACGCATCGAATGGCACCCCAAAAGAAATGAAAGAATAGAGGGGGACAGGAAGAAAGGGGCTGGGAGAAAAGCGGGTGAGGGAATTCTTAAAGCCCAACAAACGATCGTCGTTATGACAGGAGATTAGGTATTGTCTGTTTATGTGACGGTGTGTGTTGTTTCTTAATACGTGTGGGCGGTTGACGCAGAAATGAACACTGGAATAGGGGGAGAAAGAACAAGGGAAATGAAAAAGTGTAGATGGAAGATCAGTCGGGAAGTTTCTAAATGGTTTCAGGGAGGTGTGGGGAATGTCTTGTTTATGTCTGGAAAATTTTATTGATAATAATGGACAGGTATTTTATCTGAGTGTGAAATTAAGCAATAAACTAAAATAAATGACTGAAAAATAAACAACCGCAGAGTGTTGGAATATAATATTAACTTCCGATGAAATATCACTTTAATATCACTTCAAATTTAAAATTCCATTAAATTTAAAAAGATCTCTTGAGCTAATTTCGACACCCATCCAGACACGCTCTCGCTCCATTTTCCTCCAATTTCTCCTGGCTTCCATCAAGTTCCCGGCAATATTTGGACCTGCTCAACAGCTCTTCTGGGGCGATCGATCGATCGAATTGATGTCAAGTTCCGACGGTAGCACCCTCCCCAAAAAAAAAACACCTCAAGCAAAACAAAGAATATAAAAAGAACCGAAACAGAACAGAAATCTTGGTCAAGCAGTTTTTGAGGTAGCGATCGTGCCAACAGGTAGGCGGTTTCAGCAAAATAAATACTGGCAGAAAAATAAACAAAAAGACAAGAGAACACCCCGCGGCATAGAATCATTCATGAAAAGAACTCAACCCCACAAAAAAAATTAAAAACCAAATTAACAACAAATTACAACAAGAAAAAAATGTGCCAACGCAGAGCAAAAAAATAAATTATTTAACAAACAAACAAAGAATGAATTATAAAATGACGATGCGGATCAGAAAAAGGGGGAGGTAAGAAAGAGAGGGCGAGAGGAGGGCTAAGAAAGAGAGGGATATACTGGGGGAGAGAGAGCAGGTTGTATATGCGTGTGGCTGTGTGTGTGTGGAAGTGCTCTCACTTTCTTTTGAAACTTGTTATTCGCTTTGCGAGCAGAGTTCATTCACATTTGGCCACGCCGCGGAGAGAGAAAGAGAGGGAGTTGGGGGTGTCAAGAGAGAAAGAGAGGGGAAATGGCACAGCTGTTCCCGAAAGTTCCCGAAAGCCGTGTTCGAAAATGAGTGCAAATCTCTCGACACCCCCACTGCAGTGCAATGACCTCAGATTTTGCAGCTTAGATTGCAGGCTTCGTTAAAAATTCGCAAAAAAATGTGTGCAAATTTTTAATTGCCAAAGATTTCCTTGAACGCATTTCGACAGTTATATGTATGGATACTCCGCCCACCCCTCTCCTCATCCCCCCACCCTCTTCAAGCCAAGCCAAGCCCACCTGAGGTTTCTGTGTCGTTGACCGACCGCCAGAGCTCAAAACTTGCATATATACGTACCATCTATATATGTACGTAGATATATAACTGCCTGAACTGCAAGCAAATTTGCATGCAAAATGCATTGAGAGCAGCGCTCCATCGCTCTCTTTGCAGTTCGGCTCGAGTTCGTTCGTCTTCGGCTTGCCATTCGGCTCTCTAGCCCCGTCTCTTTTTAAGCGCATATAGCCCTCTCTTTCGCAGCTCCACATTCGAAGGTGGCTGACCGAAATGTGGGTCACGACAATGGCGGGGTTCGTTGAACTGAACCACCGCCGCAGTCGCTGCCTCTGCTGCTGCCTCTGCCGCCGCCTCTGCCTCTGCTGACGTCGTTAACGTTTTGGGGCTTTTTGGTTACGTAGCTTGTGTGTGAGCGAGAGGGGGCTATATAGCTATGTGTGAGCGAGAGTCGCCATACACACACAACTTGTGTGCATTATTTGGCCCCAAAAAATCACAATGCGCACAAAATATTATTTAATACATTTATTAAATCATCTGGTTGGGAGAAATGGAGTTCATCGAACCTCCAGCGATTGACAAATTTTCAATGCGGCAAAAATATTTGCCAAAGCAAATTGTTTTCATTTTGTTAATTAGGCGTGGATTGTCATGCAATATGGGTCATATTTGTAAGGTATTAAAGAAGTGAATAAAAACAGCTGCTTAGACATTTGTTTAGTAAAACAAGTATAAAAACACTTTTCTACCATAAAAAAATTACACTATCTTTTTTCTTTATTATTTTCTGTTTTTTTTTGTTAAGAACTTTGATTAAGAATTGTTTAATTTGCAAACAATTTTTAATTTACCTTTTTTTAATGACAAGCTGAAGTAAGAAAGTTGTCTGCCCCAAGCCAAGATTATATATTATTATATTTCCTATTGAAACTGCACCTGAAATATAAACCACTTGGCAGCTATCATGCAACTTTATCTTAATCATGCCTAACTTTTCTGGAAATACACCTCCAACCCCTTGGTTTAGCTGACCCCAAAAAGCGTTCGGGAACATCGTTCCAGATCTCAGATCCTCTTAGGCCTGTCATACTCGCTTTGATGGCTCAGCCAGCCCCCATATCAATTAATCTTATTTGTCACTCATTTATCAAAACATGAGCAAACACAATACAACTCGCTTGGTATGGAATCTATGGGGAACAATCGAACAGCATTGCCCGCCCGCCTCTGTTTTGTTATCAAACAAAGCTGATCAGTCAGGTGGCAGTGGCAGCAACTACCTGAGATACCTGAGCTACCTGAGAAATCAGAGTGTCGCGTGGGTGTTCCAAGAATTGTTTACCAGGCGCCCCCACTGCAGCAGCAGCAACAGCAACACCAGCAACAGCAACAGCAACAGCAATACCCAGCAGCAACACCAGAGACACAGTCCCCGCAGCAACATCTATTGTTAGACGCTGGCGTCGCTGTCGACGCTTGGAGTGAATGTCCTCAGTTGGCACACAAAAACAAAAACACAAAAAGACAGCAGCAACAACAGTGGGAGCGGGACGGGGCGAAAGAGGGAGAACGAGAGAGCGGACCCGAAGCAAGACGAGGCACAAAAAAGCCACTTCGGCTGGCAGTTTTGTGTTGCTCTGGGGTCGTTTTGTGTTGCTGGTGGACGCTGCTTTCATTCGCAAATTGCTCGTCGACGGCAGCGGTTGTGCAGAGCAAGAAAAGCGCGCGAAAAATCATAAATACAGCTGGATCAAGCGAAAGAGATAGAGAGCAGAGCCAACAGCAACAAATGTTCAATAGCAAATAATATCAATTATTTTTGTTGGTGCCAGTGAAGTGAGATCAAAGTGAAGTGTGCAATGTTCCTTATTAGCAAATCGTAGAGCAACCAACAATCGAGAGTTCAAGTGTCATTCTGAAGCCAAAAAGCAAAAAATCTCTAATTCAAATATGGTTTGTGCAATGCAAGAGGTTGCTCCCGTGCAGCAGCAGCAACAGCAACTCCAGTTGCCCCTGCAGCAACAGCAGCAGCAGCAGACACAGCAACAACACGGCACAACGATAGTGCTGTTAACGGGCAACGGTGGCGGTAATCTGCACATTGTCGCGACACCGCAGCAACATCAGCCACTGCAGCAGCAGCATCACAACCCGCAGCAACATCAACAGCAGGCCAAGAGCCAACAGCTAAAGCAGCAACACTCGGCTTTGGTCAAATTGCTGGAATCTGCGCCCATAAACAAGCAACAGCAGACGCCCAAACAAATTGTTTACCTGCAACAGCATCAGCAACAACAGCAGCCACAGCAACCGCAACGCAAAAGACTGAAAAACGAAGCAGCAATCGTACAACAGCAACAACAAACACCTGCAACACTAGTAAAGACAACCACCAACAGCAACAACACCCAGACAACAAATAGTATTAGTCAGCAGCAGCAGCAGATTGTGTTGCTGCTGCAACATCAGAATCAGCAGCAGCAGCAGCCTGCAACAGCAGTAGCCCCAGCAGCAACACCAAAGCCATGTGCCGATCTGAGCGCCAAAAATGACAGCGAGTCGGGCATCGATGAGGACTGCCCCAACAGCGACGAGGATTGCCCGAGTGCCAACCCCGCGGCAACATCGCTCGAGGACAGCAGCTACGAGCAATATCAGTGTCCCTGGAAGAAGATTCGCTATGCGCGTGAGCTTAAGCAGCGGGAATTGGAGCAGCAGCAGACCACCGGCGGCAGCAACACGCAGCACCAGCAGCAGCTCGAGGCCAAGCCAGCTGCAATACCCACCAGCAACATTAAGCAGCTGCACTGTGATAGTCCCTTTTCGGCGCAGACCCACAAGGAAATCGCCAATCTCCTGCGACAACAAACCCATCAGCAGCAACAGCAACACCAGGTGCAACATCAGCAGCAACAGCAACACCAGCAGCAACAGCAGCAACAACAACGAAGGGATAGCTCCGACAGCAACTGCTCGTTGATGAGCAACTCGAGCAACTCCAGTGCGGGCAATTGTTGCACCTGCAACGGCAGCGATGAACAGCAGCTGGAGGAGATGGACGAGGCCCAGGATTCGGGCTGCGATGATGAGCTGTGCGAGCAGCATCACCAGCGACTGGACTCCTCACAGCTGAACTACCTGTGCCAGAAGTTCGATGAGAATTTGGACACGGCGCTGAGCAACAGCAATGCCAATACGGGGAGAAATACACCAGCAATGGCAGCAAACGAAGATGCCGATGTAGGTTTAATAGTCAAGAGGATATCAGTTTTAGGGATCTTTTAATGCCACTTTCAAATATATATTTAATCAATTTTAATAATTTCCTAAATAATTTTAAATATTTTAATGATTATCATTTGCTAATTTGTGTTATTTCTTTATCATTACAGGGCTTCTTCCGTCGCTCCATCCAGCAAAAGATCCAGTATCGCCCCTGCACCAAAAATCAGCAGTGCAGCATTCTGCGCATCAATCGCAATCGCTGTCAATATTGCCGCCTGAAAAAGTGCATTGCCGTGGGCATGAGTCGCGATGGTGAGTACCTTGAGTCTTTTATTATATTAAATATTATGCAAAAATCAAATGGGGTAGGAAAATTGAGACCGAAAGAACAGACGAAATTAAATCAAGCTCAGCAGCAACACCAGGCACAGCAGCAGCAACACCGAGAACACAGCAGCAACATGAAGACGAGGCGATTCGGGCGCCACACGAAGTTAGTTCGGCTTTTTAGAGTTGAGTTCATTGACCAGCCGTGAACGAAATTTTAGCTCTCAGTGTGTGTGCTTGTGTGCCTGTATTGCAACATTTCGCTTGGCGCGATTTCACGGCAAAGTAAAAGTTGTCTATTTTGTTTAAACAAATTCCCCGACCAACAACAACAGAAAAACACACCCGCATGATAAATTGAGAGCAGGCTGTCGGCGAGAAGTGTGCGCCATTTCGAAATGGTGTTAAAAGTTGAATGAACGCACTTAACCCAAATCCATAATGGAGACAGCAGAGCGAGGCCATCTCCCTGTCTCTCTCTGTGCTCTCTCTCCCTGTCTCTTTCTCTCTTCGTTACGCTGACTGCATTTGTTATTATTGAGTTTTGTAATAATTTGTTTAAATTAAGCTCATAGCCCGGAAAATATTTACAGGAAATAGCCAGCGATTATGAAAGCACAACACACACTCACAAACACAACACACAAACACAACCAACACACTCAAACTCTCTCGCACTCTCTTTTCCACGTTCATTGACTTTTAGCTGGGCGGCCATGTTTGCTGTTTGCAGTGAAAACGAAAACGAAAGTGGTCGTGCGTGTGTGTGTGTGTGTGAGAGAGAAAGAGGTGGGGATAACAAGGGGGATAGAGACGGGGAGAGGCTGTTTTGTAGGCAACACGCAGACGCGGCCTTTGTGTAAAATAGTATTTGTTGTTGCCTTCGATGTTGTAATTGATGGATTAGATTTTGATATTTTATTTCGTATGTGGAGCACGCGGGTGTTGCAATGGGAAAGTGAAAAGAGAGCATTACAAAATTATTAGGTAGGGTTAAAAAATACAACAATTAAACTAGAAAAATGTTCGATGAAGATATAAGATGGGAAGAGGATTTATGATATGAAATAAAAAGCTTAAAACAAATTGTTTAAGATAGTTTATTACTTGGAATTTTTGCAAGGCTTTGGAAAGTGATTTTACATAGCCAGTTTTCATTTGCTTAATATATTTTTAAAATCATTTGTACATTTATCATGACATTTCTATTTTTCCTAATAACCACCCCCAATTATTTCTGACTACTAATTTTATGGCGTTGTTTACCGACACAAAAAATGAATGAGGTCTCTATGCTGTCACCATTAAAATCCTACCATTAATTAGCCACTAACCTAGAGCCAAGCGCAATAATTTTTTAGCAAATCCTTGAACTAGTTCTGTGCCTAGAGCAAAACCAAGCTAGTGCCAAAAATAAGTCATGTGAACCGTACAAAAATTCGACCGTCAACGAAATAAACAGCAAACTCGAACTCGGCAACAGCAATGAAATGAAATCGAAATAAATAAAAAGAAAAACAAAGAGAAAAAAAAGCAAACCAACAAATTTCGAATTGTTTATAATAAAAATGACCGTGTGCTATTTAAGCGACGGCGACTGCGCTGCCGCTTGGGTTGCCTTATCTTTCAAGGAAAATTAAAATAAAACGCACACGCCGAAAAAAAAAAAACAAAAAAAAAACAGAGAGGGCCGCTGATGAACAATTTACAGTTATAAAACAAGAGCGACTGACCTAGAAAACGCCACGAAATCATAATTTATTTTTTGTTTATAAAAAATCACGAAGAAGCGACTACTTTCCCTTTTTGAAAATGAAAAAAAAAATAATTGGCGGCCATTTCGAAACACTTTCTTTTTCATTTCATTTCGTTTCGTTACATTTCGTCTGCTTTCATAATTTCTTTGCCAGTAGTAATAGGCGCCATTTTGTTGGTGTTTTTTGATGCTTTTTTTTTGTTATTGGGTTTTCTTTTTTGGTATTGCAAAGACACGAAAATAACGCAAGAAATGAAAACGAAACCGAAATTTAGCGCACACAAGCGCCCCCCTCGAAAAAGTCAAATAAAATACGTCCCAACTCAGCTCAGTTCATTGACCGTCGCTGACGTGCAGGAAAACTGGGTCACCATGGACAGCGCAGCCGCTGCGCAGCGGCAGAGCAGCGGCAGCGCGGCAGTGAAGGTGTTTGCGCCTGTGTGCGTAGCTTCGTATCTGTGTGAGCGCCGATAGTAAACAACGAACAATGTGCACAACACTCGTCGTCGCTTAATTTTGCTGCTCATTTTGCATTTGATTTTGCGGATTTACTTGCAAATTTATTAGTTCACCGTGGGTTGGCCACAAAAAAAATTAAATAAAATAAAGAATAGAAACAATATATCGTTGGACTCGCTATATATGCTTATTTTCTATATATTTATTTGTGGTCGCGCAGTGCTTTTCTTTATTAGCTAGCTGGCACATGCACATGCACACATGCTGGCTTTTAATTGAAATGAACTTAAATTAGCGCGAGGTTAGGCAAATTGAAAGTAAATATGCAACACGAACGAGGCGCAGGCGAGAATCGAGATAAAGCCTGCGAAAAAGGGGTAAGGCGAAGGGGTGGAGGTCGGTTAAAATGTTTGGAGATTAGTCAAACATTTGGGTTATTTTGGTTTCTTAAATTTCAATTTTTATTGCAGCATTAATAATCAGCTATAAAGTTATTGCCGTTTAGTTTTAATATTAACAAACAAAGCACTTATAAAATAGGGTTTTTAAGATTCTCTGATAAAATTAATTGCTAAATTTATCTAAGGGACAATTTTTAAAAACTCTTGTTAATCTTCCGATCAAAATAAGTGTGAGGCAAATAGATAACCGCACCTAAAAGCAACATGTACAGTAGCAATTAGTTGCTGGTGTGTCCCAAAAGCACATAAAATAATCAAACAATTGTCAATTATCGAAGGCACAGCATTTTTTCTATATATACACATAAATATATAGAAACGAGCAACTACGACATGCTCGTTGTTGTTGTCGCAATCATTATTATTTTGAGGCTACACACACACACAGTAGCAGCAGCAACAGCAACAGCAACAGCAGCAGCAGCAACACCAACAACAACACCATGCATGTAGATTTCGCCTTGCCTCGCCGCTGCGAGTGTTTTGAACTTTATTCAGGTCAATTACAAATACATTAAAATGCCAGTGCTACACACAGATACTCATGGCAAGCTGTTGACTAAAATAATATTGGAGGCTACACAAAATTTACAATAACAACGAGAACAAGGCGGACAAGGAGAATAGTGGCCAAGGGGCCGATGTCGGGGGTTGCGGGTTGGGGGTTGGGGTTTTCGGGGTTGGGCCTTTGGTAGGAGTTGAACACTTGGAGCAGTTCAAGGAGCCTTCGAATCGGCTCATGAGAGTGGGCGCGTGAGTGGGCGGCGCTGAAACAGCTCACAGCTTACAGCTTCAAGTACAAAATGCTAATGATGACGATGTGGGTGAGGTTCTACAGTCAGTCGGTGGGGGACTCAAACGATACACTGAGGCTGTTCTAAAGAGCTGGTGAAGGTTTATGTGAGGCAATCGAAAAGATTGAACAGGCCAGTGCAGTAGTATTCGCCAATTGTATATCCATGTTTAAACTCGAATGTTTTGGTTAGTTTTATTAGTACTATTAAGATTCTTGGATTTTTCTATTTTTTTTTTTTGTTTCCACAAAATGCATAGATCAGAGCACATATAATACAACATCGTATGCTTAGCATTTATTTGAAAAGCTTGTATTTATAATTTTACAAACCAAATCCAATTCAATTTCATTTCTTTTGGTGTTTGATTGGTATGCCACTTTTTTGCCCAATTACTCTCCTGCTTTGACGCTTATACAATTACTTACTGTCCATAAGTGAAATCATTTCACGCGTGTCATCCATCACCAAAACCAAAAAAAAAAAAATAACAAAAATGGGAAAAAAGGGAAAAAAGACAGCCAAAAGAGAGCTGCGAAAAAATACTCCAAGAACGGCAGCTGTTTGACAACTTGAGTTTTTAGCCGCCTGCTGACGCTTCTTTTATTATATTTTGTTTTTCTTCGCTTTGGTTACATAAAGTTGCTGCCTGGCCTGCCTTGCCTTCACCTGCCTCACAAAAGGCAGCCACAAAAAAATTGTTAACGGTGAAATTGCAAAGAAAAGAGCGCCAAAAGCATCGAAAAAGAAAGAAGGCAAGAGCCACAAGAGTGGCAGCACAGCCAACGACGAACGTAACAAACTTGTTTTACACGAGACGACGCCAGCGTCGCCTACTACGCAAGTTGAACCTTCAAAAGGTTCATTTACCTCTCGCCACGAAGAGCGTTCGTTCGTCGTCTGGCAAACGAGCCGAGTTTATACATACATATATATTTCTGCTTTTTTTTGTTGTTTCTGTATTTTTCCCGGGGAGGAGCGGGCGAAATAAAAAATGTACTTTCGCTTTTTTCAATGCCTCGGCGCCAAAAACTAGTTTTCCAGCTCTCAAATCTCACGGAGAGCGCACGAGAGCAATATTGCAGCAATATTGCTGTTGGTGTTGCTGTTGCCGTTGGCTGGTGTTGCAGTTGCTGCTGCTGCTGCTTGTGTTGCTGCTTCGTCGTTTTGGGCCACAGTTAAACGACCGAGCCGCAGAGTTCAACGACTCTTGTAAAATTTCTCGAAGGTTTCGCATTGCAACATCCAACGAGCAGTCGCAACTTGTTCGAAGCTGCATTTGCATGCCGTCTCTATCTCTCTCTCTGCTCGCCTATGCCCCCTCTCTTTCGCGCACTGTGCTGAATGCTGTTCATTGCACTCGGCCTCGTTTCGTTTCGTTCGGCTGCAATTTTTGCACGACGTCAGAGGCTGAGCAAAATGCGAATTGCCCGTGGGGGCAGCAAGGGGTTAAAGCGAGGGGCCTGCAGTTTGTCGCCGAGTGCAGCGACTTCTATTTGGGTCAGGCACGGTCAT